AAGATGATTGCTAGACTGTAAACAAAAGCATCGTGTGCCATCGCAGCAGAACGACCCCATTTTTCTTGTCTCTTTATTATGATTAGACATGAATGAAAAGTGCTAAGCTGACAGACTGCGAAATCTGTGGATTAAAAATGCTAAGTCCAAATTGTGTGGGACGATATCGACGAACTTCAGGAATAAGTTGTAGGGATTTTGTTCGACGGCTACAGTGACGCCGACTTGGACTTTGTGGGTTTTGAGTTTGACGAAGATGGCAATGAACGTACAAATAAAGATCTGAGAAGTTATTTCAAACAGCTATGAATCTTTATAATTTTTACAGTGTAAATTTGTAAATTATTATTGATCTTGTATGACGGTTGATTCGTAATTTGTCGAGACCGGAAATCATTTTACGCAGTTTAACCCCTAACATTTTAATTCATTTTGAGTTCACGCGTTTTGGGCGTGTTTGTCGGCGGAAAAATCCTAATTCAAATGATTCCTCACTGTCAATTTTTATTATTTCTGGTTTATTTGTCACATTATAATCAATACATTAATTTTGTTTTACTTCTAGTGTTGGATATTGTTCATTTATTTCCGTTGCATGTTTTCATTTACCGTTCTATTTCCTGCCGCAGTTCGATCTGCGTGTTGTCAATTTTCGTGAATTTTCGTTTTTTCTGCCGGGGATCTCCTGGCAAATACCCACCCCTTCTTTTTGGCAATTTTCCATGTTCAAGACCCTGGGCTTATACCCGGAAAAATATGGTATAATCCCCTGACAAAACTGGATTTCAATAGATGGCGCCCTCTGGAGACCCCCAGCCATATTTTTTTCCACTTTCAAGTGATTTAAAGCGAACCTAAATATGGCCTTAATTTATAAACTGTATTCGAAATAATATTGCAGTGGTTTAATTTTGTTTAAATTATAACTGTAGCTTGGATAGGCATTTGAAGTGCTTGCAATTAAACACCATGGAGGCCATTCGTGGAGGGGAATAAATAACGAACGAACATAGTTAACATCCAGGTTCTTTTCAAAGCTATGACGTTTTAGTATCTGATCGCATTCGTATATGCCATTGTACATAGCCGTTCATGCTGCCAAGCATTGTGTACTACTAGTATAAACTCAACTTTTATATGCTCAATGTGCTTTTTAAAACTTGGGTTAGAGCCTTATGCATTTGAACCTTAGTATTCTGAGAGTGGAAGCCCAATTGCGTTAAAGTACCGTATTTCCTTGATCGTAAGTCCCTCCCGAGTATGAAGCCCATCCCTATATATTTACTTGGTATTTATCGAGTTGAGAGCATTCACGATTATAAGCCCAGAGTGTTTTTACTGGGCGTCGACGATATTCTTTAAAATATGCGTGTAAAAGGTGTGTTTCATTTCATAATAATCGTTATTGGCATGGTAGTTTAGTTCGTGCTTTTAGTTTTTATGAGAAAACTCACATTAATTTCAGAGTGCATGGCGAACGTACACAACGTGGTTCGCATCCTTTCTATTCTGTCATTTACTCAGGATGAACCCCGATGTTGCAATACGACAGTATATGCTATGCTTTCAGTGTCCACCTCTCGACAATGGTCATTACAGGAGACGTTTTTTAAAACTAAAAATCTGAGAAAAAAGATTGCTGCTATTAAAAAGTTAATTGTGATGGACTATACTTACACTGGAATACCACTTAATATCTTTGTAAAGATCTGTTCCTGGTATTCTCCCCAGTAATGTACAATATGGTTCCTGTGTTCTCCAGACATGTACAAATATTGAAAATCCCACACCAATTAACAGACCTTGGTCTACATTGAACAGTACCACGGCTACACAGCTTACCCACCACACATGCTGAAATATATAGAAAACAATTTTAAGACAAAGACATTGACAGTCCCAGTAAATAACTATTTTAAACAATAAACCTCAACCCTTTGAGTGCCAGCATTTTGCATGATTTTGTTTATTTTTCTATAACTTTTATTGTTTATCTTGGATTAAATGGGCATAATTTCAAATGTACTACAGGGTTTGAGCAAAATTTGTAAAAACAATAAGGACAAATTTATGTGGCTTTATTTTGTGAATGGGTAACAAAAGTTGACTTTAGCATTCAAAGGCTTAAAACCATTTCAGCAGTACATATACTTCTAATTTACTTACTACTGATATGTGCTGAGACTCAAGAGGTGTATTGATAATATAATAATGTGGATAGAAATAGACACAAAAAATTCAAATATTATTTAGACTAAGAGGTGTTTTATTTTCATATTTTCGGTTTGTACATGTAGGTAGCTTGAAACGAAACTAACCTAGGTTGCAAAACTTCAGTGCAAAATCTTCAACTAGTAAAAATTATTATCAAAACAGTCATCAATTGCTGATATTTGATAATAAAGTTAATCAAAGTTAAACTGTAAATAGCTCGTAAATGACGTGCATCAGGAACCCATAATGTCTAATGTATGTACCAAGTTTGAACGAAATCCATCCATAAATGCCAGAAATGCTTGATATTTGATGATTTTTTAGCACAAAAATGACCACTATTTGGCCATTTTGAATAGGATCGTCAAACCAATATATCTGTTTATCTATGACATGATGTATAATGAATATTTAAAATTTGAACATAATCAGTGAAAGCAAGTCAGAGATATGGCACGAGAACCACATTCATTAAAACAAAATGGCCGCCAGTCGGCCATTTTGAATCTTATCTGAAAAGGTTCCATAATGTCTAATGTATATACCAAGTTTGAACAAAATCAATCTGTAAATAGCCAAGAAATGCTTGATTTTTAGGATTTTTTAACACAAAATGGCCGCCATTCGGCCATCTTGAATCAGATTGTAAAACAAAATAATGTGCATCAAGGCCTTATAATGTCTAATGTATATACCAAGTTTGAACAAAATCCATCTGTAAACAGCTGAGAAATGCTTGATTTTGATGATTTTTACACAAAAATGGCCGCCATTCGGCCATCTTGAATCAGATCGTGAAACAAATTGACGTGCATATGTATAATATCATGTATGATGTATGTGTGAAGTTTGATTGTGATTGGTCCAGGCATTTCTAAGATACAGATACTGCGTCCAAACGGGGACTAATTAATGCAATAATTGACTAATTAATATGCATGGAATTGAACCAAAATCTAATCAGCGCATCTACTCATCATATATTAGCTTGTGCCAAATTTCATTTGAATTGAAATTGTAGATCTTGAGTTATCAGTGGAACAAATTTTAGTCACAGAGTCACAGAGACCGGTATCACATAAGCTCCGTTTCACGGAAGCTAAAAATGGTAACCCTAAATTGCAAATTATGCAGGCAGTAGCAAAATATGTATTTCACATGAAACAATCAAGACGAGATGAGGGCTACTCCGATAATGTAGTATATACTTACAAAGTCTATCATATCATACTTGAAGAGTTTTGGAAGATCAAGAACCTGCTTGAAGATTCCTTTTAAAGCAACAAGTACAATAGCAGAGAGTACTGCCTGAAATGAAATAAATTTGGAAGTTATTCCTGTGATCATTACAATTCTTTAATATGTCAATATGATATCAATAATGAAAGCTATAGCTAACTGTTGAATGTGTTATGTAATAAAATATAGAGATGAAAAGCACATTATATGATTCAGAGGTAAATCTACCAAACCTTACACTATAGTAGTGTTATGTGTCTGTAATTTTGTTTGTAATTATTCTAAAACTGTGAGTCATGGATTCAACTTTACCGTTGGAAGAGTCTCGAACAATGGTCCAATCCATAGTAGGACAATCAACATTAAGGCACTGTTCACAAATCCAGCAATCTGGAATGAAACAAGAATGATCAATTGATATCTACACAGCCAACAGAGAACTCCATGTCCATTTTTCTGTATTTTTTTATTAAATTTTCAATAATGTGGAACTAAGTGGACATAATTTCCTATGTGCTACACATTTTGATCAACATTTTGCAAAAAAAAAAAAGGATACATGATGAAGGGTGGGTACAAAACTATATTGTAGCATTTTGTTGAAAAAGACATATCACACTTGAAATAAATGTTTTCCCTATTCAATCAAAGCGATGAACAAAAGACATTTTGTTAAAATACTTATATAATGAGAATATGCCTAATACATGCATTAAAGCTATAATTGCAGGATCTGTATGCACAGTGAAATGAGAGGAAATCTTGACAGTCCTATAGAGTATTTTAAATGCATACCTGAGATGTTCCACCAGTACTTTCTTGAACTAAACTACGCCCCATAGAACCACTTGATGCATAGCATGAAAACATGGAACATATCACATTAGTACTTCCGTAAGCTATCAACTCCTACACCACAGCAACAAAACAAAAATGAGAAATTTAGAAGCATTATGCAAATAGGTACACAATGTAACAAACTGAATTTTACATATCGGTACTATTGTAGAATTCAGTCAGCTACAAATGATAATAATTTAAATACCTCATGGTAAAATATCCCTAGAATACTAAGATCTGTGTATTTAAACAAGCAGCCTCTCGGCTGAGATAGCTCCGTTATTAGCAATGCACATTTCAATTAAAAAATTGAAGATATCACAAAATGAAAAAATCTGAGAGAGGTCCATCTGTAGTACCAATATATATAATATCAAAGCAATGTGACTTGCAGATTTTAACAAGAAGTTGAATTTATCACTTTTTACCAAAATGACAAAAATATTCATCAAAATTAGAGAATTAAATATATCATCACGAAATTAACAAATGTGAGAGAGGTCCATCTGAGAACCTACATGTATAATATCAAAGCAATCGATCGGACTTGTGGTTTTTAACAATATCACTTTTTACCAAAAATTACAAAAATAAATATTCATTATGCTATAGAATTGAAGATATCATCATGTAATGAACAATCTAAGAGGTCTACTCAAGGTACATATACACCAAGTATAAAAGCAATCAGGCTTGTAGTTTTCAAGAAGGAATTAAAAAAGTAAAAACCAGACAATCACTCATGTGATAAGCTCTGCTCAACAAAGTCAACAGTTAAACGAATTTTTACCCAATACTAAGACATCATGACTGTATGGGATAGATGTTGATTTCTGTTAAATTGTTTTTCCATCTACATGAGCAAACATTTGTTGAGGCAATGATGCGAATGAAGCATATTAAAACATGAACCTGTCTTGCGAGCAGCATTAGTTAAATTTTTGACAAAATAAATTACCTGATTTGCATCTATCTTATAGTTCTTTTTTTGAGAAAATAATGATGCCAAGGCAACAGAAATTGAAAATGATACTAAAGCAATGGGGAAAGCAGCACCAATCAAGGATGTGAGATATGTCGTTGGTGGAAATCTTGGTGGAGGTAATCTGTCAATAAAAAATATAATAACATGAATGTTGACTGTTCTGAGATGAGATGCAAGTACAAAGGATGGCCATCTCATCATCTGACATCGTCTAATAGCAACTCAATTCACAGCGACAAATCAAAAGCTATTTTCTTGATGCCTAACAAATTTGGCCTTGAACTCCAAAATTTAAGCTCTGTGAAATTGTATCCTGTTAAGTTCATTTCTTTCAGGAGATACAAAATCAAAGACAAACCAGAAACATTATTCTATTGCTGGGACCTACATTGAATTGACTTGAAAAACAATTGAGATACGTGTGAATACCAATATGTCTTCAAACAACTTTGAACAAATTTGGTCTAAGAGTGTCATATTTTCTATTTCTGTTTTCAAACTAAATATTGAAAAAAATAGTATCCAGCATGGTGATAAAATCACACTGCACATATTTATGACTGCATAACTGAAGTCTCCGGGAAGATATGACCAGAGTTCATGTTATGCCTATCTGAATTAGAGAAAATACCCCCTGTAGTGTTGAGTGGGATATGTACTCACATAAATGACAGAATGTATGTCTGTGATATCTACCAGTAAGCCATATTTTAATAATCCACTATACAATGAATTTCTGCTGTATGTGCGTTTCTATTGGATATATGAATGCTATGCTTTATTTGTTTATATTAGTACCAACTAATGGTAGTATTACCACACTCGACCGCATTAGCGCCCAGGGTTCTACAAAAATTGTGATTTTTTTTTTAGGGGCGGGTGCTTACCCGAGCACCCTTCTCGGAAAGGAGTACAAATGACAATTTTAATTTACCATGTGACAGATTGAAGGGGATATTACGTCTTTGAGTAACTAGCAATTTTTGATAGGTAAACTATGGCATGAAATATTTACCGCATTTTACTTTTATTAACAGGTCATTGTCGAAGCGTAGTTTACACATGGTTACCATGGTCTAGGCATTCACAACATATTCACGGCGGTATCATATATTAAAAACGATTACCAGTATTCGTTAAGCAACCAATTTTTAAATTAGTGGCATGTTGAAGGGGTGGGCACTTTGCCGAATGTGACGCCGAATGGGCATGGGCGTGGTCGAGTACAGTAAATCAAATCACAGACTCAAACTGACACTCAAATTGTCAACCTACACTTCACGGCATGTCTTCCCTTCTGCCACCAGGGCAGTCCTCCAAAAAATACATAATAATAATAATACAGTAGTATAGTATTTATCTCAACGTTCACCGCGTTTTTACAATAATATGTAGTCTAGAAAGTAATAATCAAAACATGCATCACTTACCCTGCAGGTATATCACCATCACCAATAACATCAACATCATGATTCTCTTCCAAATTTAGAAAGTAGCTTGATAAGGTACCAACTACTACCTATAACAATATATAGCAGGTATTTCCAGGTGTTTAGTCATAGAGATTATTCAAAGAAATGCATTTCTTTGCAAACATTTAGTAAGATTACAGTCAAAGAGTGAAATGTGGGATGGATATTTTTAGTATTTAGCGTTTTTAATATTTTACTGTTCACAAATGAAAAACAATGTCAATTAGTATGCTACGAGTAATTACTAGTATGTACTTAGAATACATGTATACAGAAAATTGAAACTTTTTCAATGCTATTGAAGATGAAATTTTGCAGAAGTTATTGCGACTTCCTCACTGTGAGACTTTAAATGACAGTTCACACAGAATTAAAATAAATGTACTCACCACTATTAACTCAGACCCGAGTGGGTACCCATGTAGTCGTTTCTTACACCTGAATTCCACTTCTTTAATAACAACTAAAACCACAATACAACTAACTGAGAGCAATACAGTCACATAATTACACTCATGTAAACTTGTAAAAATGTCTCGATACACCTACAACAGTAAAGGAATATATATACAAATATTTTTATTTTTTTTCATATTTTTTAATTTGTCTATTTCAACTTGTAATCTTGTTTGAACATGTATATATGTCATATCTTATTTACCTACCATTGGGTCCCGATAGTTTGCTTAAATTATTAACACAGGCGATGGAATGTACTTCCAAATAATGCTACCCCAGTATTATTTTCAAACTGAGTATAATTTCCAATAATGAACACAAGGTGGCACTATATCATGTGCAAGGTAAATTTTGAGAAATATATACCATACTACATGTGTTGACTGGACTAAAATATCTTGGGTAATTGAAAGTAAACAATATTATATAGTCATCACTGGGTGAAGACGGGTTTCAGCATGTACCACATTTAAAATATATCATGCTACAAGCATGGTTTCTACCATGGAACCGAGTTATATTTGAATGTCAATGTGCAATATGACATAATAAATGCAAGAACATAAAGTATTTTAATTATCTACTTGGAAAACGTTTTCAAATCAGATACATAGATTTTAATACTTACATAGACTATTTTAAAAGCACCGGTATAACGTCCCACACTTATCCCTAGCATATCATCTATTTGACTGGTTAACACATAGACGGCAGCACCCGTAGTATATCCTCTAATAAATGGGTTGGATAGGTATATGGTAATCCAACCAAGGTGCACAATACCCATACATAACTGAATTAAAAGCATAATAGAAATATTGTTAATTACCAAATATCACTAAATTACCATCATCATTATATGTATTTCATGTCAATTTTTAAAAAAAAATACTACCGTAAGTGTTACAGTCTTTGTGATGCCTATGGAAAACATATGGGGCAAAATTTAGTCTGTACAGGCTTCGCATATGTAAACAACACCCAGACATCTAGTGTTCTTTATTGCACATGATCATCAAATAACTAACCTGTATTATTCCAACCAGGAGTGCCAACACGACAGCAGCATCTACTAATTCCTGCTGCCTGTTCCATTCCAGTGGTGATACAGATGTTGTGTTTCTAGTATTGTTATCCATATAGTTATTCAGCAGGTCATCGCTACCGTCAGGATATAGGGGTACCACACTTTCAATCGCTGCACTTACCATTATACTGCTAACAGCGAATGTACCTGAGAAAACATTAACTTGGTGCATATCCTTTCATTCATGAATGAGTGCCATATACAATCAAATTTTTTTCTCGAAGTGTGAATGCAAGTTGATTGCCAAGAAACTAATTCATTTTAAAGTATTGGAAATTTTATTATTTGTGTTGTGGAACTTTATGTGACATACATGTATTTTATGATATGAATATGCATGAAGTCTGAATGTTAGCCATTGTTTTGGCATCCTATCTGATTTTTTGTTCGTGTCTGGATTCACAAAGATTCACCCATATTCTGAATTGTGGCCGAGGAAATTCAGAACATGGCTACTCCAAGTAAATCATCAATGATTTCCCACATTTAGCTCATATTCATATTCGATATACATCAAAAAATAGTACAAAAATACTAATATTAAAGTAGAATGAAATTTTAAAAGTAACATACCCATTGCTAATTCTTTACATGTACCAGTAACACCATATACTATAGGTGCAAAAAAACTCATGTATAGACCGTACACTGGAGGCAGTGATGCCAACATAGCATATGCCATACCTAAATAAAAATATATAAAGAGAGTATCATATTGAAACTGGCTTTCAGGCAAATTGAATTTAGAACCAATTCATTTCAAAGTACCACTTTAATTGAAAATTTATTATCACTGAAAAGCATACGGTAAGTCAATGTTAATAACAAGTTATCATTGCAATGCTATTGAAATGCTATTTTAATTTTATTTTTACTAGATTAACCCTGCAACAAAAATCATGAACAGGGAAAACACATTCTATACTTACCTTGTGGTATATTCATAACACAGACCGTTGCCCCGGATACCAAATCTCCTACCAGTTGATCTCGAACTTTATATTCTGATAACCACTTGGAGATAGGAAATGTGGACAACATGCAGCCTCTAGTACAAACAAGATTGCACTGACATTTCTTGATCTTCTGTTTAATTCTCTGTTTGTACGGTACATACTCCATGTCATTCTCCTTGTGGTAGTTTTTGAATTCTTCTTGCGAGTACAGGGGTCTTTCGATACGATAGCTTAGATGATGCTCTGATGGGTCCCCTTCACTGTGGTTGGACATTTGTTCTTGTACAGGTGGCTGATCAATGTTTGGTTTCTCCCTGTAGTGCACATTGTTCGGGTCATTTCTGTCTTTGTCCATGCTTTTTACTGAATTGTCCTTGACTTTGGATGCATCATGTTGCGACTGCTGGTCTAGATCAAGGTCATCTAATTGCCCTTGATTTGATGACATATTTGACTTTGTATCCTGACCTTGATGACTTTTATAGATACCAATAACACTTTGAGGCAAATACTGATGTAGTTGGTAATCCTCCCTCACTAACTCTACAAAAGACAATTTAGGGTTGATTAATAAAGATTCATGAAAGTCTTTTTTTATCATTATTTTTATTTTTATT